TGTTTGAAAAAAATATTTTAATTCAAAAGTCGAAAGGGGTCATGGGGAGGCGCGTGAACACAAAGAACGCAAAGGGCCTAACTCTGAGTTACATATTTTGCTTATATATATATATATATTTTTTTTTTTTTTTTTTTTTTTAAATTTTTTTAAAAATTTATATATATATATATATATATATATATATATATATATATATATATATATATATATATATATATATATTTATTTATTTATTTATTTTTTTTTTTTTGTGTTGTTGTTGTTGTTGTTGCTGTTTTTTTGTTTTGTTTTTTGGTCCCTTGCCCATTTCTAGGATATTGACGCCATCTGATTAGTAGAAAAATGTGCGTATGAGAGTGCCGAATAATGTATAACGTACACAATTGTTATGACATATAACTGTTACATATAGATGTTTAAGATAATTATAGATGTTTGTGAAGGATCTGAGAGCAATGATGACCTTAGAAATGACGATGATGATGGTGATAAGTGATGATGTGGGATGGTGCTTACGTTTATAATTACATGTATTAAAAAGACATGCTTCTGTTATTTGGTTGTTGTTGTTTTTAAAAATAATGTTAGCGTTAGTCCTATCTTCCTCTGCTCTGATGAGTCACGAGGGATGTGGGCACCCGCTATCCCGTTCCTTACTGGAACCATTTTTCATGTCATCGTGAAGTTCCGAAATGGTGGGCACAGTCTCTGCTATGGTGAGGTCCTTTGCTTATGAGCGTGACGATTTAACAATAAAGCAATAACATGCCTTATAATTTCAGGTTAGGAAGATCCGCCTAGACCACCCAATACAGGTACAGTGTATATTTACATTGTGCTTTTTAAGAAACTATAGCAACAACGGTTGTATAAACGGTTTGATGTTACACACACACACACACACACACACACACACACACACACACACACACACAAACACACACACACTCTCTCACACACACACACACACTTACACACACTTACACACACACACGCAAACACACACACTCTCACACACACACACACTCACACACACACTCACACACACGCACACACACACACACACACACTCACACACACACACGCACACACACACACACTCACACACACACGCACACACACACACACACATACACACACACATAGATAGATAGATAGATAATGGTTTACAATTTGGAGAAGGAATGGGAAAGAGGTCAAATTTTAATCTGAAGCAAAAGTTTACCTTTTTAAAAAATACCTTTTTAAAAAATACCTTGAACACCTGAGAAGAAATGTCACCTGGCAGAACAGATCACAGACCTCTTTGGACCGTACACTTACAGTTTTGCTTTTTTCATTCAAGGAAATCAGCCGGCATTGAAGATGATTTATTCATGTTTTCTAGACTTCTCGCAGATACATCATAAATAAATACATGTATGTCACGACACAGAGGAATCATGCGCTCGTCAATGTTTTGGCTCCTGAAGTGAGTGGTATAATCTGAAAGTTTGTGTATTTTCCTTGCTGTCAGTGAAAAAAGACCCATCTATCTTGAATAGAAGTCGAGATATTTGCGATCGAACGGGGTGGGGTCTACTGGTGTGAGTGTTAAAATTAGTGAGAAAATGGCCGCCAAAGTTTGGGAACTTCTATAGCGTCTGAGTCCCTGAAAACTGAAAAAATACATATTTTAACTTTTAATCAACGTTTTTCAGAAAAATTCACATGGAAATGTGTTTCTGTATGAACATAAAAGGTGTTGAGCTAAAAAACAAAAATTCAATAAAAATGACCAAACCGGAGGAAAAAAGCCTGTTTTTTTTCGATTTTATTATTTTGAAGAGCGCCTAATTTCATCCCGATGCCTCACAAATAGGTTTTTTTTTTTGGTAGAGGGTTTTACAGCGCTCGCAACTGCATAAAGTCATATGAGCGCCATAGCGTAAACTAGTGTGAATTGACATTAAGTAGATGCGAAATAGAATTATGATGAAATGGTCTTGTACTAATTTAGTTTGATTCGATTAGTAAGGTTTAAGAGAGATAAATAGTGTTGAAGATTAAGTTCATGATGTTATTTGGGAAAACTCAAATAAAAAATTGAATTTAAAAAAAAACAACAATAAAAACGATAAGTAGATTATATATAAATATA